ATTCTTCCTATTGTGAAGTCATGCAGTGTGAAACCCCCTGTCGCCGATCCATCGTGCAGTGTGAACACAGCAGCAACTGAATGCTACCCCAGATAGTCACGCAGTGTGAAAACAACGGCGATCCAACGAGTTTGAAAATCGTGCAGTGTGAACTCGGCATAAGTGAGCTTTGACTTTACGTCGCATGCGATCTGCTCTTACAGTGCGAGTTGGTACTTTGATGAAATCGCACGGAAATCGCACAGTGTATGCCCCACCTAACGTAAATGTTCGAAGATGTCGGCTATGAAGAAGAATGGCCTACATTTTTAAGAAACTTCTCCACATCTTCTCGCTCTTTATTAGTGTATTTTGCACATTTTAATTTAACAGCACAATCTCGAAAACTCTAAAATAACAAATTGAGCTATGGGAATGATGCGATGTAAATTAAAACTCTTATATTTAAGTTTCTTTGTCTAGATTCCAGCGCTGCTCACTCATTTATCAGCCAATGTCATGATGTGCATCCTGGGATGATTTTAAAACACAACCCAAGGAGGAACTCATGCATTTAGGCGTTTTGTTCAAATTCAAACATCTTCAGTTCAGAAGGTTTTTACGATCATGAGAAGCGTAGATTCACTCAAGTACATCCAAATGTTTATGTATTTGTTACAGAAAGTCAAATCTGAAGACTGGATTCATGCATAAAGATTAAAACACCCATAAAAGGCGTTTTTGTGTGGTGTGCAGTTTTTTTCAACAAGGCTGAATCTTTCCCCAAACTGTAAACAACTCATTTGTCACGCAGGTTCAGTTAGTGCTTACGTGATCAAGTTTAATAGTGACACAGTTTTGCTTTTTTTGTGGCTTTCACTGATAACACTTTTTTTTTTGTTATTATTTTCGTTGCGCACAAGTGCCGACAGGGTGTTGGTAACTGTGAAGGGTGTTGCTTCTTACAGGATGTGGTAGTTTCAGAAGGGCCCCCTCCTTTATCTTAGCCCAACTTTTACAAAGTGGTATAAAACAAAACAAAAATTAGGAAAAGAAACTTGGTAATTCCACTCTGGTTTATTTTAAACCATTTTGGATGAGAGCGAAGAACTGATGCATAGACAAAAAGGGACCAAAGCAGATCGTTTTCACCCTTGATCGGCCACAAGTAATTGCAAAAAAACCTGAATGCTTTCTACCTTAATAAGGTTTACAGGTGAAATTAACAATTTAATGAATCATTGCACATGCAATATGATCTCCAAGCATTTCTTTGTCAATGCTGGAAAAAAATCTATTGATTGAAAATGTAATGCATATTAAACAGACATGCAGATGAGTGTGTGTGTGTGTGTGTGTGTGTGTACCTGGTATTTATCACGTTATGGGGACCAAATGTCCCCACAAGGATAGTAATACTAGTACATTTTGACCTTGTGGGGACATTTTTGAGGTCCCCATGAGGAAACAAGCTTATAAATCATACAGAATGAGTTTTTTTGAGAAAGTAAAAATGCACAAAGTTTCCTGTAAGGGGTAGGGTTGGTGTAGGGCAATAGCACATACAGTTTGTACAGTATAAAAACCATTACGCCTATGGAATGTCCCCATAAAACATGGAAACACAACATGTGTGTGTGTTTGTTTAACTAGTTGTGAGGGCCAAATGCCCTCACTTACATAGTGAAATAATCTGACAACCCACTAGTGAGGACATTTTACTGGTCCTTACTAGTTAAAAAAGTCTTACAAATCGTTTTTCTTTCAATATTGTGTTTTGCACGTTTCTGTGAGGAGAAGGTTTGGGTGTTGGGTTAGGTTATAGAAAGTCTGTGCGATGTCTTCACTAATATAGTGAAACAAACTCATGTGTGTGTGTGTGTGTGTGTGTGTGTCTGTGTGTGTGTGTGTGTGTGTGTGTGTTTCCACCCAGCTGGATGAGGTGAACTGAAAACAGTAAGGGAGGAGGCCACTTTACTAGGTCATCGGGTCTTCCTGTTTGCTGACTGGCTTCTGAGAAATATCAGTTATAGCAACTTCAAAGCTGTTGTAAGAATTTTCGTGTAGCATCAGTTGTATTTAAAGGGTCTTGAGAAATGTTGTCACTGCTGCGACACGTGCTGGCTAGAAACTGGCACAATGACTTCCTGTAGTAGTATTAAATCTTTATTGTCCATTTATTGCGGTGTAAAATATATTAGTTGCACATATAAAACTGTAAATCGTTTAATAAATTGAAGCTATAATAATTTTACAATTTTATTTACATGCATTGAATATAGTTTGTATTTTACGATTTTTTTTTTAAGTGTTGTATTTTAATTACATTTGATTGGT